TTATATAGTTTTAATGTGAAAAATTTAAATTTTTTTTCCTTTGAGGGTGTAAAGAGTTATTGTTTACATCTATTATAGATTACACTAGCGTTTTTGAAATAATAAAAAAAAAAAAAAATGAAAATTCTTTAAGTTTATGTTGAATAGATCACTTGCATTTTCCAAAATAGTGCTGCTATCTAGGAAAATAATAAATTAATTAAAGAAGCTGGTCTTGCTTCTATATTCATTAAGTAATTTTACAGCGTGGTACTCTATTTTTTAAATGTTTGTTGTGTATTAGGCCACTTTTGCTCTTACCTTCTCTTATATATATATATGAGTGTATTAATATACCAGCATTGTCGACAAGATTATTGTAACAAGTCGAGAACTTTAGCAAACTTCATTACACCTACCTATACAATATTTTTCGGTCACCGGATTGATCCGAGGATTTATTTAAAGCCATATTTTCTTGACGTAAAGTATATATATCGCTATGGTTACGTATTCGATGAATCGCGAAATACCCAAACAAAGTTTAGTATAGGTAATAACTCTAATCGTTGATCATAAAATGGCTGATGTACCTAAACATTCATCGAAAACGGTCCGCATGGGACTGCATTTATATTCGTATCACGTTTCCGAATAAATATTAAAAAGTGTATATAAATGACGCCACTTTATTTGTGGTTTATTTATTATACGCTTATAATTTATACAACAATATGTGATACGGTGACACCCACCCTGAAATATACATCGCCATCGTCGTGACTATATTATAATATACAGCCATATAGCTGTTGCAGGTACATAATAACAAAATTAATAATAATGCGCATATTATATTACATTGTATACATACATACGTATAACTCGACTGATGGTTACGCAAAAATTATTACTGTTACGGTTGTTATGTCCGCGTACAACTCGCGTTGTATGTTTTCTAATGAGTTTCTTTAAACGCGTGCTATATGCGTAATCCGCGTTGAAAAAAAAAATAAACCATCGTTGCTCACGGTTTAACGCGGCATTCAAATACGAGTACATACAACGACGTGTGTAACAAATGTATGTATACGTATTTAAATCCCGAGAGCAAACGATTACCAGGTTTATATACCGGGAATCGACTAATATACATGATTATACCACGCGTCGTACATATTTGCGTGAAGAACCGGTGAAAAGCAAATAGAGAGAAAGAGAGAGAAAATTACGTCGTCGACCTTTTGGTTTTTTTTTTTTCATAATACACGCGAAAACATACGTCGTAGACGTTTCATCACAAAGAGAAATTCATTATAGTGACGGTTTTCATATAATTTTAAGAATATTTATAGTATAATATTTAAAGGTATATGGTTATTTTCATTACTAACTTGAGACATTATATTATTTGAGTCAATATTTGTATTTTAAAGTGTTTCCATTTAATTTATTGATATCTTATTTTACAGTCACATAAATTATGGTTATTATTATTTATATATTTTTTAATTACTCGGTACTATTTTTTATTTCACAGACTAAAGTAAAATAATTGAAAATGTGATTATATAAAACATTATATTGAATACTATTTAAACTAAAAAATAGGTTATAGTTAATAGATGTAGTTATTTCAAAAATAGGGAAAGTAATTTTATACTTCTTGAAAATTTACTGTATACTATTCAACTTATTTAGACGCTCAATTAAAACAAATAATAAAGTATAATGGTTTAATAATACTAAATGTGTGTTTGTATACTAAAATTTTGTAAAAATATTTCGTTCAGAATACTTAAGTTTACCATAGATAAAAAAAAAAGTACAGTTTACCCCAAGTGGTAAAAATAAAATATTTGAAAATTTTTTTTGACTAAACATAAATGTAGTCATAGTTAAATTTAGTAAAATTAATGTCACAGTTTTTTTAAGTTTATGGAAAATATTCGAAAAAAATAAGAATTTACTGAGAAAACGATTTTTTTATAATGTTAAACAAAATTTCAAATATGACTTAACAAATTAACGTAACTTCTGAAGCCGTGGGTTTTGTTTAATTGATCGTGTTTAAGTTCTTTTGACCGAGTTTGTAAAACAAAAACGAATAGTAATCGTTTGAGGTGTGTTTTATATTTTGTCGTCAACACCCATATATTACTGCTGCCATACCCCACGTATATACAAATAATATTTGAATATATTGCCTTTTGATAATACATATTAAATTATATGATTATAGTCATGGTGACCTAATCATATGTTGAGTTTGATTTAGGTATTTTGAGGTCTACCCCTCCTTATAAACACCTACAATTTGTTTAACGCAATATTATTATAAATTATGATTATTAAAATTGTTTCCTGTACTCGATTTGTAAGCATTTATTAAGAAAAACAACATTATTTATTCGCATGCACAATATTTAAATAATATTTTCATCGAATATTTAATAATTAATAAAACAAAAATTTAAACATTTATCATGCACTTAGTTTGCTATGTACGTAATCTTTCTAAATATATAATTATTGTTTTTGGCGAATTGTTAGTTATGAATTAAGTCAATAACGTATTTTTGTTTTGTTGTAATTCAGTAAATCATTACTGATTGAGAATGGAGATGGATTAATATTATTTATTTATAGTATTCAAAATATAAGTTGATATCAGCCTACTTTTAAAGTTTTTTAGAACGGAAAATGACATTTCACTACTGCGATTTTAACACAGATCGTTTGACGTGCAAAAATATAATCGAAACGATTTCAACCTTTCGAAGTTAAGAAATGGTCCTTATAATCTGTTATTATATAGACGTGGTTTTAACGACGCGTATTTGTGGTATTGCGAACGATCTGGAAGTCTTGTCGGTTGGGTACCTACTACACACTAGACTGTAATACGATAGTAGGACGGAGAATGTAAATAATTATTAGTGTCATCGGTAGTCGTCGTATTGAATATTATAATATGCGCCATCCAATAAATCACGATATAGTATGTCTATAAATCAAAAGTAGGTAAATCGTACGTACGTATTTACGTAAAAAAAAAATATAACGAAAAAAAGAACAGATTCACCGCCGCAGAATCACACATTATTACTATACCCGGTATAGTACACATTTCGGATGCCATACCGTAACTGCACGTGTAACGTTATCATGGGAAATATGCCACTGACGACGGAAAATTATTATTTGTCGAACGATCTTGTTGCAGTAATAAATTGTACTGAAAATCGAAAAACCGTTCACGCGGACCCAATAACGCTTTATATGCGTTGTGCAAGCACACACAATCACTCGACTAGTATTGTGCACAGTTCATTTTCGCAGTAAACCTAACCGCTGCCGTGACGTTTGCATTTCGTACACCTGCAGCATGTCTATAGCACGCGTTATTGGATATTATGCACATTTCGTGGAATGATAATATCGCAAGTCGTACAATCGTCGTCGTCGCCGCGTCATTCGCCATTCAGTCGGAAGTCCGAAATACCCACGCTTCTATGTCCTACGACGTTTTGCTTTGATTTTACTGATCACACAAAAATATACACAACGTAATATATACATGGTTATGATTTGTATGTACTTACAATTTATTCGTTTTTCCAATTATATATATGTGGTCCATTGAAGTTAGGCCGAGACGGAAATAAAAGGTGATAATTTATCGACTAGGGCTTATATATAGATTTAACACAACTGAAACCCGTCTCGACTAGACGAACGAAAAAAAGATTGCCCTGTGCTGGGAAATCGTTTGATAAAAGGCTAAAATATATTATAGCATGAATTATTTTTGTCGTCAAGATTCGTTTGAGCTTATAAAATATGTAAACTGATGAGTAGCGGTATAAGTCTTATTACTATATTCCCTAAATTATCGTGAATTTATTGTCGATTTAGAACTAAGATAGTACCTAATTATTGTTGTTTTACATTATCACTGTAGTTTATAATAATTTATTTTTTACTGAAATTCATACTATAAAAAAAATATGTTGCGTAATGATATTTTAAACAGTGTGTTATATAGGATTTTGTAAAATACCAATTCGTTTGCAAACGGCGAAATCATTCTATAAATTATTTCGAAACGTGTTCACATAAATCAAAGGTACTTTTGTTTTATGTATTTTGGATTTCAACCGTACGTTGGTGCAATAAATTTATGATAGAAAATGAACTCTTACAACGGCTACAACAAGCCATGAGATTAATTTCGAATTTCGTCTATACTGGCAGCAACTGTAGCAAATATGACAAATATTGAGTATGTCCTCAGCTCATTTTAATTTTTCATTGCGGTAATCACACCACGTTCAAACTACATTACAGAGAGTTTACACAGTCTTTGACTGTCAATTTATTATATACATATTAAAATATTTATAGTATACAGTATTCACATTACCAAATATGTTGGCTGTACACTAGAATTTTGTGATTTTTTTAAAAAATTTGATAATTAGCTATAAATTATTGAATAAGACATATTTAATTCATATTTTAGTAAGTTGTAAGTTAAAATATTTATTAAGTATTTACATTAAAGTCGAAATTGTTGATGGGGATATTCCCGGTTGAATGTGGAACATGGTGTGGTTACCGCGGTGAAAAATCAAAATGGGCTGAAAACAAATAGATATATACTATACGTACTACAAATTACAACGTTATTAGTCACTAATTATCTATATAATCATGAACAAGTTATATGATAATTTTAGGAAATTTCGTGTGTAATTAATAATAGGTACATAATTGGTTTTTATAATACAAACTGAAGCATTAAGTATTAAATTAGAAGTTTTCACGTTTGAGTTTTTGTAGACTAAAAATTGAATTTCGTGGGGTCCTAAGAGTTCTAAATAGGTAGTCATATAATTGTACAGCAAATATATTAATGATAAGAAACGATAAACAGAACAGCGGCGTGCATCAAACTATATCGTATCAATAGGTACCTACATTAAGTTTTATAATAAAGATAAATTTGTAATTTTCAGAAAAATGAATGATGCATTCAGAGGTTTTGGTTTGGTTGACGACGGGAATCGGCGGCCCTCTGTCCGTGGTATGGCTGTGCTGGGCGATACTGGTGCTGTGGTTCGGCCGCGGCCAGTGGCGGCCGTCGGACCCGCTGCTCATAGCGCTGCTGGCTGAAGCGATCGCCAAACAGGCGGCCGGCACCGCCAACTCGGCGCTGTCGCTGTTCCAGCCCGATGAACCAGCGATGTGCAGCGCGGTGCAGTGGCTCTGGACGGCCGCGCACACGATGCAGGCCGGCACGCTGGCGTCGCTGGCCCTGATGGCCGGGCTGAGGCGCAAAAAGCGGACGGTGGCTGCGGGCGGCCGGCCGCTGTTGC